GTCGCTTTCAGAGCATGCGACATCATTGGCGGGATATGCTGCATAGAGCATTTCTTACAACGTTACTACGTTAGAAACGCCATGCTGGATGCTTGTTGTCAAATTGAACAACTTGAGTTACTTTACCCTTTCAAGGAAGTTGAAATGAATGGAGTACAAGTGCAACGAAGAGCACTGTGAACATATACAATCGTCTAGACAACATCTATCGACTTCATCTTACAACTGAAGGTGTTATTGAACATTTTCAAGACTATAAGATCAAATGATTAAAACCACATTGATGAGTTTTCGCGACGTGAAGAAAGCATCTGTGACTGACGAGTCTGACGACGGCTACTACGAAAAATTTCAATTGCTTTTTCTAGAAATTCCACATGTTGAATTGTTTTGTCTGAAGCACGGAGCAAGAATGGATATCCGAGTTTCATCACAGCATCAGCCAGCTCAGATATGCCCCATTTTCATATTCCAGTCGCTTTTAAATCCGAGCACCAGTTCAGATGTGGGAAGAAAAACACAAACAAGTGGTTGATCAAACATTCATCTCTTTTCAAAAATGCATCTTGACGAGTCAGTTTAACATCTGGATGGGTGACAATAATTTCAACGGACGTCTCTTTCAGGACTCAGATAAGTGGGCTCAATACCATTGAGGTGTCGGGGCAGTTTAAAAATACCAGACGCGATCCAAGGCAGTGAGTATATTCAACATCCCAGAACCATTATTCTCACTAACTACTTCACTTCATCCTCATCACTCAGAGTTTTCGATGCTACAAGGAGATGTCTACATCTATATAACGTATTTGTCGGTGAAATATTGGAAAGGGGACACAACAATCACGAGACATGATAGACACCAATCAAGTGGGTGGTTACGTCTGAGGAGCTGTTCGTGGTGGACCGCTAAGGTCACTGGAAAGTGAGTAAGACCCATACAGTGAGAGTGCAAAGACAATACCCAATCCTGCCATCTTGGCAACTTTCTTAAACTTCTCCATTTTCGTTTTTGGAAGTTTAGTAAACTCTTTCACAGCTCGCTGTAACGATTTCCTATCTGGATATAATTGTGTCATTTCTTTCATGAAGTTGGTGGACAAAGTCTTGGCTTGTGCTGCAACATCATCTGCACCAGCTCCCGCCAATTTTGCGCTTGCTTTAGCTGCATCGTCACCCGACATGCCGAAAAAATTGTAGATTCCAGAAAACATGCCCAATCGGCGACTTTGACGAGTCTTGATATCATTTGATACAACGTCGTTGGCACCAATGGACGTGAAAGTGCATGCGATGAAAGTCACGATGACAAAAGCTTTCAAAAAGCCAAAGTTCATGAAACTTGCACTGTAAAACGTTTCTCACGGCAGAAATTGAAGAATATTCACAGCACAAACAAGTGTTCGATTGTGAGGATTTAATCTTGAGATGATCGTAAAGGTGTCGCTTTCAGAGCATGCGACATCATTGGCGGGATATGCTGCATAGAGCATTTCTTACGGCGTTACTACGTTAGAAACGCCATGCTGGATGCTTGTTGTCAAATTGAACAATTTGATCTACTTTAACCCTTTCAAGTTAGTAGAAATGAATGGACTACAAGCGCAACGAAGAGCACTGTGAACATATACAATCGTCTAGACAACATCTTTTGACTGCTTACAACTGAAGGTGTTATTGAACATGC